TTAAACATATCAATATGTTTTAATAAAATTATTATTATAAAGTACATTATAATTCAAAGTTTTATATTATCTAAGTTTTTATTCCTTTATTTTAAACAGAAACATCTAAAACAGCAACTAAAACTTCAGTTTTTTTCATAATCCAATTTCTCAATATTAAGAGCTGGTCCAGAAGAAATTGTATGTTTGGAATGCAGACAGTTCCTTCAGATGGCCAAATTACATAATAAAGAAGTTTTACGTTATTTTCTTACAACTGTCAGTAGATATTATTCCCTCAATAAACGTTGTAAGCTTTCTCGCCTATTTGCAAAGTCGAAGTTGGATTGCTATACAACAGTTTGAAGTAGAATAGCATGCTTATAATCAATAGGAAAAGCAGATTTCTCGCTATACATATAGCTAGGAGAAGATACATTACTACTGGATGGATTGTGCTGCATGAGATAAAAACGCAACATAGTCCATTGTCGAGAACAGGGCACCCAGTGTTTAGCTATACCTTCTTGCTTTATAGATATTACTGTATTGGCCCAATTATAGGGTGATCTCGAATATAAAGCGACCCTCATTTTCAGACACAATGGGAAAGAAAAAATTTAATGTCATAGTGTCCTTTTTGAGGTCCGAAAAATCAATACTATAACTGAACAGCCTGCAGGTGGATTAGTCGCAAGAATTAACGATGACCTTGAATGAACATCTGGCACACATGCTTAGAGGAATGCTATCTGAACAATCAGGAATGCGAAAGGCTAAAGTATGATGAAGGGGTCGGTGGCGATTATAAGGCGACTATGAATTTTATAGCCTAATTATTAATCAAAAAACATCGCTTTATAATGGGGTCAATACTAGATTGATAGAGAGTTAAATTGCATTTAGGTTTTAGATATATATTTTAGGTAATTACATTTTTAATTAAATATTTTTGGAATGAAATATAATGATAGCGACATTAAGTCCTTACAATTTGAGGTCACGGCTATCATGGCGTTAATGCGAATGTTATGATTTAAATAGTTTATGTAAAGCATGAGTATTAAATGCATTTATTTTTAGAAGGAATAGTTTATCACAGGGTTGTTTACGTAACTGTTTACTAATCATAAGTTGTGCAGTTTAGTTGTTGTATTATTGCATCATGTTACTGGAATCTTCTTAGTTTTTCTCGTTGTTTTAATTGAGTATTGTTGCATCATAATATCTTGTAATTATTAAAAAGTTCTATGCCTTGGTGGGGCTATAAATATACATAAAAATGTAGTTCAAGTGCATAAAACAAAGTTAGACAGAATTAGTTTGATATCTAGCTAGATCTGGAATGAATGATTGTAAGTTTAGCCATAAAGAGCGTATAGTAGCGATTTTCAAAGTGAAATTATTACAGATTGTATTATAATAACAGAGTGGGGAAGAAGTTTTGTCAATTGTATTCAAAAGTAATTGACCCAACCTGTGTGGACTCTGACAAAAAAAGAGACAATTTTTTAAAGTTATGGATACAACTGCGATAACCAACATCGTAATAAACATTTGTATATACGTTTGACTTTAATATATTAGTTGTTTGTTTGTTTCTTGTTGAAATTTATCGCCAACGAGTCATAGATACCTACTGTTAAAAATCCAGCAAATACATAAAAACTTGACGGTATTTGATGAACAGATGATGGGCAAGGTACATCTGTATGTGATGATTGATAGGACAGTGAGAAAGTTTATCATAGTAAGAATACAGATGGACACTCCATACTTTTGGGAGGCCTTGACACCACGTGCATGAAGGTACCAATCTATGAATCGGTGATTCGCAATATACCAGGCAGTAGAAGTTTGGAGAAACCAGAGATAAGGAGACTGATGCGGCATCAAATGCAGTCACCACAAGAGCTCAATAGAAGAAGAGTAAGCAAAATATCAAGCCCTTACAAGTCTCGATAAGTGACATCCCGAATGTAGGTCTATAGGAACTGAAAGAAGTATAAAAGAAAGACTCTTCACAGCAGAAACTTTGGAACAGTACCCGGGAGGAAGACAAGCACAAGGCGAAGGGGAAAGGGGCTTGCATAATAGAGGACTGGAAGGTAGTGCTATACTTAATCTATTAAGGTAGTTCTACTGGTAAGTTAAACAGATCATAGTACCAACAGACTACTGGACTCAAGTAATGAAGTTAGCTCACGAGTCGACTGTGGGAGGACACCTAGGAGCAAAGAAGATGGCAGACAGAATCATCTTCAACTTCACTGGTCAAGGATGATTGGAGATGTGACCAAATTCTGCGGGTCATGTGACATCTGCCAAAGGTCAGTACCTAGAGGGAAGGTAGCCAAGGCCCCAATGGGTGAGATGCCTCTCATAGAAGAGTCATTCAGTAGAATAGTTGTGGACTTGATCATACCACTAGCACTTGTATCATACAAGGACAACTGGTACTGGCTGACAGTAGTCGACTTTGCGACATGTTACCCAGAAGTCATAGCATTGCTGAAAATAGAGATGGAGAAAGAAGCAGAAGCCCTCCAAGAAGTGTTATACAGAATGAGCTTTTCAAAAGTTTACCTCAGAACTGATGCAAGAGGTTTGAAGATTCATCAGCACTAGGCTAATCTTTACCACCACACACATCCCTAGCAGTAATGGATTTTGTGAGAGAGTTAAAGGAGTCTTAACTAATTGCAGGCAGTATTATATGCTTATCAAGAAGTCCCACAAGCAAGTACAGGATTTTCACCCTTCAAGCTACTATGCAGATATTAAAAGAATTGTGGACAGGAGAAGAAGAGTCAGAAGTGAAGAACACATAACAGTACATGTTAGTATTGAGAAACTGACTGGACGAGACCTGTCAACTTGATAGAGAAAGTTTGAATGCAGCTCAAGGCAGCCAGAAGCACTTCTATGACAAGAAGGCCAAGGATTGATGTTTCAAGGTCGGACAGAAGGTCTTGGTTCTGCTACTTACAGACAACAATAAACTCACCCAGCATGGAAAGGGACCTTTTAAACTGCAGGAGCCCCCAGTAGCACAGCGGTATGTCTGCGAACTTACAATGCTAGAATCTGGGTTTCGATACTCGTGGTGAGCAGAGCACAGATAACCCATTGTGTAGCTTTGTGCTTAATTACAAACAAACAAACTGCAGGGAGTGTTCAACTGAGTAGACTATAAGGTGAAATGGAAAGGAAGACCAAAATCTACCATGCCAACCTATTGAAGATGTACTTCTAGAAGGAAAAAGACCTACCAGGTGCAGCTACTGACGCACAGATGGACATTGCAGGTGTGACTATCATAGACTCAGAACTAGAAGATAGCAAATTTATCATAGAAGATGAAAACCTACTACACCTAAGATGGGTAGAGATAAGATATACAAAGACATGAACATATGTAGTTCAGTTGTTGTGAATTGGCACTTGTTGTATTATTGCATTATGCTATAGAACATTCTAAGTTTTTCTCATTGTTTTGATTGAGTATTATTACATCATAATATATTGTAGTGTGTGGAATGTTCTAGGCCTCAGCTAGGTTATAAATATTTGTGCAAAATGTAGTTCTAGTTAGTTAGACAAAGCTAGTGAAATAGATAAATAGATCTAGCCAGCATGGATGTGAGTTTAGCCATAAGAACATATAGTGGCGATTTCTAAAGGGAATTATCACAGATTGCATTATAATAACAGAGTGGAGAAGAAATAATTTCAATTGTGTTCTGAAGTAAGTGAACTGTCCTGTGTAGAATTTGACGAAAAAAGAAACGATTACTCAAAGCTCAGGATACAACCCTGGTAATCCAGGGAATGTAGTGGCCTGTGTGAGTGATTTTTCGGTGAATTTTAGTTTTGATATGTGTCGGATCTGATAATGTCGAGGTTAATAAAATACAATTGTCTGTTATTTTCGTGTTCAATGGTAAATTTAATGCTAGGATGAATGGAGTATATGTTTTACATAGAAGTGAAACCGGAAAAAGTGACATCGATATAACTGTACCAGTATAGGGATGATAAAGAGCGGAATCTCGCCCAGGATTCCAAACAAAAAAATTAATATACTGAAAAATCTTATACACACAGCTTCTAGACTTTGTTCAACTGAGTACATAGATGAAGAAATTAACTGTATAAATCATTTCTTCATCCACATCAACAAGTTTCCACTAAACATTGTCGAAACATTTCCACACAACCACCTAAACAAAAACCTCAAAACTCAACTCACAAACAAAACTGACACTAATACACCAAACAGCAACACAACATTACACTGCAATTTTCCATTTATCCCTGACATCAACTCAGAAATAATGAACACTTGCCATCAAACAATTTCTGTTGACGTCAAATTCACCCCAAAACCTAGCACTAAACTAAAATATTTATTTAATACAAATTACATAGAATCCCACAATTCTAACATCAATTATAAAATAACATGCAATAACTCTCTAGAATTTTACATCGGAGAAACAGGTAGAAAATTGGAAACCAGATTAACTGAACACAATAAAATAAAATCCTAAATCAACACCCCGGACTACCAAGATACCTATATCAGACTGTAAAGCAATATCCTGTTATGTGATCTCATTGTTTTATTCTGCATATATGTATCTCTGTAAAAATAAATTACTTGTAACTGAGGATGACAAAGACTTGTCGAAACTTCGTACAGTTATAATAAAGCTTTTCATTATCCTATCAATCCATCTTAAAACTTATATTTTCCTAAACGTGGCTTCCTCGTTATCAAGTTTTAATCTATCATGAAATCTAAAAACAACTGTAAGATTTACAATAACTTTCTCAAAACTATATAAGTAGAAAGAAAAACAGCGAGTATACTATATAATAGATCAATAATTTTGGCAATAAAGGCTAATTATGAAATTGTTCTCTGTGCATTATTTTATTTTAATTTTGTAATATTTGCAACTCTTCAAACGATGACGTATGACACTTTATTAAAGCACAGACAGACAAAACGCTCTACGTATAAAACGTTACATCGAACTGGCGCGAGATTAGAGAAAATGGCTGAAACACAGGACGTTAGCGAAGGAGAAAAAAATGGAGAAGAAGAAGAAGAATGTGGAATTACTATGTTAGATGTTCTGGAAGACGAACAAGAATTGGAAGAAGATGCCAATGCAGTGTTAGGTGGGAGCGATGACAAAAACTGCACTTATCCAATGGTGCGTTAATCAAATATTTGGTTTCTTGTAACTATAAGTGTAAGTTGCAACTTTAAGTTTTAAAGTTAAAAGTTTAAGTTTGTAATTGTATGTTATCAATAACGTTAATATAAATTATATATATAACATTAAATTAATGTTTGCAATATTCTGGTTATTTACAAGTTAATGTTGTAATTCATTGATTGTGACTGTTTTTTACTAATTTTAGTATTACTATTACATAAATTTCATAAAATCTTAAAGGGACAAAAAGGAGCTTATTAGCCCATCAAGGATGTCCCTTCCAGCTCCCAACTATAACCATCCTTTACTCTTATGTATTCGTCAACTATTTTCTTTAACCCAGTTAAATTTTCTGCATCTACCACCCTTGAAGTTGAAGGTAACTAATTTCAAAAGCCAACCACCCTGTTTGGAAAGTAATACTGTCTAAATTGCAGATGACTCCTTGCTGCCAAATTTGAATTTATGCCCCTTGTCCTATTGTTTTTACCACTAAACACAAAAAGTTTGAACCTATATTATCAATACCCTTAATAATCTTAAACACTTCAATCAAATCATCCCCTCTGACGCTTCTCCTCTCCAGAGAAAACAAGTTTAAGAGATTTTAGTCTCTTTTCATTGGACAATCCCATCATCCTAGTGGCTCTTCTTGGAACCTTCTCCAACAGTTCCCTAAATGAGACCTTACAAGTGATCTATACAGTGAAACAATAATATCCCTTGTCTTGTATTCAATATTTCTATACATGCTACCCAAAATCCTATTAGCCCTATTGCTAGCTACAAAACACTGTTTAGATAACTTAAGTGATTTTTTGAACATAACATCAAGATCTTTTTCTTCAGCCACAGTATTTAATGTATTCCCATTTAAACTGTAGCAATAATTTGAATTGTGAAAACCTACATGCATCACCTTACATTTGGATAGTTAAACATCATCTGCCACGTATTGGCCCAATGCATCAAATGATCTAAATCTCCTTGCAAGTCTGCAGCATCTGTGATATAGTTAGCCACCCCAAAAATCTTAATGTCATCTGCAAATTTCAAAATTGTGTTAGTCATTCTAGAGTCAATATCAGTAATATAAATCACAAACAGCAGAGGCCCCAGCACAGAGCCCTGAGGCACACTGCTTGTAACTATGATCCAGTCATATCTAACTCCATTTATTACTACTCTCTGTTTTCTACTCTCCAGCCAATTTTCTATCCAGTTTAATAACATTTCCCCCACACCCACAGATTTAATTTTTGTAACAAGTCTTTTGTATAGAACCTTACCAAATGCTTTCTAAACATCAAGGTAAATCAAATCTACAGTATTTCCTCCATCAACTCTTTCAGTAACATCCAATCAGAACTTATTGAGTTAATACTAAAAATAGAGTTATGCCACTGTATTAGTGTATAGGTCTACTACTGCCCGTACTAATATAAAATTCAGGCTTGAAATATGTTTTAGGCTTTTTATAGAGTTTCGTATCTTTATATTACTCAGTTACTATTAAACTGATTTCTTGAACCTATGTATTTTCCTAACAAAAGGAATAATTTGGGTTTGTAGTTGTACTGATGTGTAGCATTAGTCTTGAGGTAACAAAATTCATATGCAGTCTCTGTTGCATTTATTTTTTATTTTTATCATATTTGTTGAGTGCTACAAGCTATGAAAATCAATAGGGTGACTGGCTTATACTTATAGAATGACATGCTGTTAGCAGTAGTTGAAACTGGCACTTTTTAGGAGTTAGTGAGTGGTTTCTCATGTATCAAACATTGTTATCAAAATTACGATATAACTCAAATGCATTACATTGTACTTGCTACAATTAAAGGTCATTTTTCAAATATATGTTTAAGTTTTCAATTGATCCAACTAATTATTACTCTGTAATACCTTGACGTTCACAATATAATTAGAAATACTCAAAAGTTAATGTCATCAGCAGTAATTCTACTTCTGCCAGTTTTGTAAATGGCTAAAATATTCACACAAGGGTGTATATTTTGAGTCCATTAATAAATAGTTTTAGCTTTCTCTCATCCAATCACCATACAATTCACTTGATTAGACTTTCACCAATTCCCACCGATATGATTTTCATAGCTAACATTCTTTGTGATACCTTATGAAAGCATTCCCTTTCATCTTTCATTGGGCTTCATTTAAAAAGTAACATTATTTGAAAAGAAAAAGATAACAGGTCAGTAAGAGAAGATTCCCTTTGGTGTAGCAATGTTGGCTTTTTATTACAATATCATGTTTCACTAAATGATTTTGTTAAATTTCTTTTATCAGATTCTCTAGAATTTTTCTAACCTCAAAAATATAATTCACTGACTTATGATTTCCAAGGCAACTCTTATTACCTTCTTTAAAAATAGGAGCAACATTTGTAGAAACTAATTGCCCCTTTAAAAATTGGAGTAACACATGCAACTGAGAACCTGCTGACTATATATTGACATACCAAAGTGAAAGAGACTCTTATATGTGATCTTTGATATTCTTTAAGGTCCAGAAGAAACCTTGTCTGGTCCTGATGCTTTATCTGTTGCTGGAATAGTTTCTATTATTGGGCGAGTTGTTTTAGATTATTTGGTAAAGAGATTAATGAGAAATACAATCCACTTAATAATAATAAATTTATAAGTTTTTAATTTCTTTGACTGCAATTTTTCAACTACTAGTACTACTTTTACAATTTACCCCAAACTAACAATAGGCATAATTAATTCACAAATAATGACTCGGTAAAGATTCCAATTCTTACTAATATTCTCTTACATGTGGTACAACTACAAGTATCTTAAGTACTTTGTTAAAAAGAAACTCAAAACTTACAGCACTGAACTAATTAATTGGATGATTCAATAATCACTTAGCAGTTTCAGTGAATTTTGCATATTTTGTACAACATAAATTATTTCCTAGACTTAGAATAAACTTCCAGACATTTAGCCATGCTTTCATTTAATGACATTAGTTCTCCTCTGGTGAAACAAGAATACAAACATCTAAATTTAAAAATTATAGCCTATAGCAGTGACTATTCCCCAGATTCAAGTCCCATGAACAACCCTATTATGCACACACACGAATAGAATTAGCACTGTGATAATATAGTTCTGTAACATGGTATCTAGGTTATCTGTAATAGCTTCAGCTAGCTCAGTGAAGCCACAAGTATCATGTAATTATTGAGTTAGTTCATACACTGCAGTTTAAACTTGGACAAGGTGATTGCACAAAATATAAGTAGGAAACTTGTAAATTATTATTAATAGAAGTTATGGATGTGTAATGTAATAATTGTATAATGATAAGATAATAATATGTGTCGTTCAATTATTGTGCCAGCAGATGCCTGCATATGAAGGAAGAAATAATGCTAACTTAATTTTTCACTTTACACTAAAGTTAAAACTTCCATAATAAATAATAGACATTACAATAATTAATTAAATGAATAATAATAAGAGCTGTCCAGTTAGTGGTATATGATAATTATTGTGCTCATCAACCATTTACACTTAATTAATTGGTTGTTCTTGCATGATATTAAGATCATTGGAATAATTTAAAATAGTAATAATCAGAGATGCTAATTTTGATTAGTTGATTATTTTCTTGACTTATGATTCTCATCAATTAAATTGAACAATCATGAATTATACAAAAATAATGAGAAATCAAAATATCAACATTTTGATTACTTGGAGAGTTGGAATAATTGAAAACAGTAATATCTTGTAACTAGTTTCGAATAGTTTATTATTTTTGTGGTTGTAATCAACATAATGCATAGTTTTCCATATCTAAGTATTTCCCATGATCCTCACTTCTGGTTGCTTGCTATATTATATGACAAGCCTCAATATAGATCTAAGTGTGGTAGATACAGGCGATAAAAAAAAAATCTGGTTTGTTTTCTCAGTCACATTATGGATAAATTGAATAGCTGGTAAGAAAGTGTGAAAGACATTATATCAGGATACATTAGATGAAGTGTATAAGGCAAGATATTTGGATAAATTGAAGGTGATAGACAGTAAAGATTCATATGAGATTGAAAAGCAGGACTGGAGCAATGACATGACAAAATGGCCAGAAGTCGCATATCCAAATATAGTCAATTATTTAGTTCACACACACACAACACACACACAGTGCTTGCATGTTGCATGAATTGAAAGCATACATGTCTCTTCAATCATGCAGTTATTTTGTTAGTGGATGGGTGCTAGACATGGCAGAGGTGGTAGTAAACAACAAGTGCATTATTTCTAAAAAAGTGAAGCATAGTCAAAGGATGAATGATATGTTTGCTCCTATGGTTAATATGTGAAAATAATGGAACTGTAATTTCTGGACACTATACTTGCATGGCAGGTATAGGGGAAGTTTGTTCCCACGTGAGTGCTATACTGTTTGCTGTAGAAGCAGCTGTCAAGATAAGAAATTCCAAAACTGTAACTGATGAAAAGTCTTACTGGCTACATCTTTATGACTATATAGTATTAGTAAAATAACCCATGGCTGTATTTTTATAAATACCTTTAATAATATGTATGTGTGTGTATGTATTAAGGATAAATTTGAGCTTAAGGGTTAAAAAAAGTAAAAATCTGATGGTCCCTACTGCATTACCTCCCAACAACATTTTGTTAATTGACTTTTTATTTATTATTTATTTTTGATAGTTAAAACAAATTAATGAATTATAATAACGAATAAACTAAAGACCAAAAATCAAATAGTAAAACATAATCCAGATTTTTTTACCTTTTTCATTTAAGGTTCAGTACAAGACTATTCTGATATGGTACAATACCTCCCACTCACATAAATAGCGATTCTTGTTCAGTGCTGCCTTCTCATGACATTGTTTCATGACAATCTTTTTGTCTCAGTGCTAGATTTTTTTACCCCCTTGATGTGACCCTATTCTTTCTTGCAAAAAATTTATTAAAAAAATATAAAAA